GAGAGAGAGAGAGAGAAAGAGAATCCCAAGCAGGCTCTCTGCTGCCAGTGCAGACAGAGCCTGATGTTGGGTTCAAACTCACAAACTGTGAGATCACGACCTGACCAGAAATGGAGAGTCACATGCTCAACCAACTGAACCACCCAGGAGCCCCTGGATTTCTAATTCTTAAAGTCAGGGCACCTTCTGGAATTGGAGGCCCGTTTTATGCATTGAGTGATCTCTGGTATGTTGTGATTACACGTAATGCTGGCATAATTTCCTTTATGTAACAACGGATTTTGGGGGGAAAGTGGACTTATACCGAAAATGCGACGGAAAGTGAAAGGACAGTGAAAAAACAGAAGGTCTGACATCAACCAATGCCCATAATTGAGAACAGAAAGTGATCGTTTGTATTGTTGTGTTTTTACATGATTTGGATCACAGAAGCAACAGTGGAAACTTACCTCTAAGACTTTTCTATTTGTACTATTCATTCTTTATTATCTGCAGGGTAAAGATCACTTAAAGTGGATAAAAATATGGAAAGGCCATGAACACAAATAAAATTAACAATTTGAGGGGCCCCTGGGTGGCTCAGTTGGTTGAGTGGCCGACGGGCTCATCATGATCTTGCCATTGGCGAATTCAAGCCCTGTGTCGGGCTCTGTACTGACAGTGTAGTGCCTGCTTCAGATCCTCTGTTCCCCCTCTCTCTCTACCCATTCCCCACTCGTACACTCTCACACTCTCTCTCAAAAATAAACAAACATTTAAAAAAAAATAACAATTTGAAGGCATAGGAAAAAAAGGACAAGAACAGCCAGATTAACTTATTTTATTTAATGTTTATTTATTTTGAGAGAGAGAGAGAGCATGAGCGAGCACGTTGGGGGGTGGCATAGAGAGAGAGGGAAAGGGAGGGAGAATCCCAAACAGGCTCTGAACTGTGAGCCCAGAGCCCGATGTGGGCCTCAATCTCAAGGTCTGTGAGATCATGACCTGAGCTGAAACCAAGAGTCAGACGCTTAACCGACCGGGCCACCCAGGTGCCCCTAACCATATTTGCTTATTTAAAATTTTTTTTTTTCAACTTTTATTTATTTTTGGGACAGAGAGAGACAGAGCATGAGCGGGGGAGGGGCAGAGAGAGAG